GCCGGCCTGTGAGTTTTTTGTATTTTTTTAGTGTAGAGACGGGGTTTCACCGCTGTGAGCCAGGATGGTCTCGATCTCCGGACTTCGTGATCGCCCGCCTCGCCCTCCCAAAAGTGCTGGGGATGTGACAGGCGTGAGCCACCGCGCGCCGGCCGAAAACTAACTTCTTAGTTCAGACTTGGATGTTACTTGAGACATGAGAGCTTCAATGTTAAAGGTTTCTCATTTTAAAGCATGGTGGTGCTTTTCCATTGATTGTCATGTGACCTGTGGAGATCTGTAGCATAGCCTGAGGGGACTTCGCCCCCGAAGTTCCCGATGTTCAATGTCCCTTTTTATCTTCATGCAGGCCATGGTTGTCGTAATCTATCATGATGAGGAGTGTGGGAAACAGTCGGTGGTTCACAACCAGGAAGCAATGTGTAAAAAACAAAAAAGCTGTAGAATGGCAAGGCAGAAATTAGACATAAGCTAAATGGCATGTGTGACTCCAAAATCTTGTACGCCCCATCTCGCCCCCCCCCCCCCTATGCTGGCATTATCAGGGTGAGTGGCAGACTGGAGAGATGAGGGTTAAAGCAAAACAGGCGGCCTTGGGTGCGGTCGGCTCGCCGAGCCTGTAATCCCAGCACTTTGGGAGGCCGAGATGGGCGGATCGCAAGGTCAGAAGATCAAGACCATCTTGGCTAACACGGTGAAACCCTGTCTCTACTAAAAAATACAAAAAACTAGCCGGGCGAGGGGTGAGCGCCCGTAGTCCCAGCTACTCGGGAGGCTGAGGCAGGAGAATAGCATGAACCTGGGAGGCAGAGCTTGCAGTGAGCTGAGATCTGGCCACTGAACTGCAGCCTGGGCAACAGAGCAAGACTCTGTCTCAAAAAAAAAAAAAGAAAACAGGCACTAAACTCAAAGCTGTGCTAAATGATATCACAGGCACAGATGTCATCGTGTGGGACTCCAAGTTCCCAAACAACCTCTCTGACAGCACAAAAAATATGATTTTCCATAATAAAGTAAGCTACCAGGTTTCAGAGTGGCTGTCCTGGACACTACAATTTTCAAAAAACTATCATTGCAAACAAGCCAAATTATTAGACCTCTTCGTGAGGCAAGTACCCAACACTCTTTCTCCATCCACACTTTAGAGTGATTGGAAGTTAGAGTTCAATGGATGGATGGCTCATATATTTGAAATCACGATTTCATGTTCACTTTATTCAGTCTCTCTGAAGCCTTAAATCTAGGTCAGGGAAACATTCATGTAACTCATTACAATTATGCTCCCTCCTCAATGGATTTCTAGGACCATCAGGTTTTTGTTTTGTTTTGTTTTGTTTTTGAGACAGAGTCTCACTCTGTCGCCCAGGCTGGAGTGCAGTGGTGCGATCTCGGCTTACTGCAAGCTCCGCCTCCCGAGTTCACGCCATTCTCCTGCCTCAGCCTCCCGAGTAGCTGGGACTACAGGCGCCGCCACCACGCCCGGCTAATTTTTTGTGTTTTTAGTAGAGACAGGATTTCACCATGTTAGCCAGGATGGTCTTGATCTCCTGACCTCATGATCCACCCATGTCGGCCTGCCAAAGTGCTGGGATTACAGGCGTGAGCCACCATGCCCGGCCAGGACCATCATTTTAAAAAGTGCTTCAACGTACGTAAAATAGGGATTTCAGTACTCCAGTAAAAGCTCTCCATTTTTAATAGTTAGCATTCCATGGAGGGCAGGTCTTTGCATACCTACCACCAAAATATGAGGAAGCCAAACAGCTGAAGACAGAGACTGATATAACCAGTCTCTCAGAAAGAAACATTCAGTGGGGGTTTATGGAGAGATGTTGGAGTCACACGTAGGACTTGTATACCATGGGGAAGGAGTGTGTAGGAAAGCTGAAGTCTACCTGTCAGGGACAGGCAGAAACACCATGTGAATCTAAGCGCAGGATTCATAGTTGTGGTTCTGACCTAAGGGCAGGATTGACAGAAAAATCATAATTTTCACAAGGAACAGTAGATGCAATAGAAATCTTCTCCCCGCCGGGCACGGTGGCTCACGCCTGTCATCCCAGCACTTTGGGAGGCCGAGGCGGGCGGATCATGAGGTCAGGAGATCGAGACCATCCTGGCTAACACGGTGAAACCCCGTCTCTACTAAAAATACAAAAAACTAGCCGGGCGTGGTGGGGGCGCCTGTAGTCCCAGCTACTCGGAGGCTGAGGCAGAAGAATAGCGTGAACCCGGGAGGCGGAGCTTGCAGTGAGCCGAGATTGCGCCACTGCACTCCAGCCTGGGCGACACAGCGAGACTCCGTCTCAAAAAAAAAAAAAAAAAAAAAAGAAATCTTATCCCCTAGTGTGCATATAAAGGAAAAAAAAGTATACAGAAAGCTTAGAGGCAGTCCCAGAACTGGGAAAATGAGAAGTCAACATGGTGAGTTAGCTTTCAAGATTGAGTTGTTTTTGCCTCCACTGCTAGGTAGAGGGTAAATGGAGTTGGTCAGCGGATGTGAAAGTGTAAGTCTGTTTCCTCAGTAATCTATCGTAATAGAGAAGATGAGGCACCCCTGTTTCGAAATAGTCATTGGCAGTCAGGGAGAAAAGTGCCACATTCCCTTCCTCCTGTGATACACATGGAACTGAGTGCAGGTCCAGCTGATCTATGCATGCAAAAGCAATGACAAGGAGGACATGCAGGGTGACAGGAAAGTGACTTTATTTTCCAAATCCAGCAGTGGGGAAATGACTGGATTATACCTCTATATACCAGTTCAAACTTCAAAGTTTGGGCTGAGGGCAGAGGTTTAAAGAAAGGGAAGCATGACATGGGAGGCGTGCAGGAGCTGTGCAGATTCAGGGAGTCTGTGTCTTACTCCAATGTGTATCTTGAATTGTGGTCCACCTGGAGCCACAGACTGATACCATCTCGATAGTGACAGGTCATAGATACCCATCCTGAGACCGTCTTCAAGAGAGAGACAATTCCACAGCTGGGCCTTTATGTTTGGTTCATTTTAAATTAGCCTCTGGTATTTTTTTGACAGGCGTATAGTTAGATAATTATGCATGGTGTGAGTTTAGCCAGCTAGGTAAATGTGTATAAGGCATGTACGTGTACAGTGGGAAACCGAAGGGGGTGTGGTTCCAAAGTATATTTCAAGGTTCTACTTGAAGACTGAGGCAATGGTTTCTGCAGTTTGCTTCAAGGTTACATCTCGAGACTGGGAAGAAAATAAAGAGAAAGAAAAAGCTTAAATGTATTTTGAAGCTAAACGACTCGATTATAATCCTTCGCCATAAACGTCCATTCCATTTCCATGGAAAGTGGGCAACAGCAATCCATCTAGCTTCTTCCCGCTGAGAAGGGGCACAGTTAGAGGGTATCAGATTGGAATCTGTTTACCTGGAGTTGGAAATATTCGTGGGTTCCCAGACTAATATGAGAATGTGTTGGAGCGTTATGGTGTGGGGACACAAAAGTTTCTGAAAAAGTTTTTCCTGCATCTCCATACAGTTACTGAAAAGCAACAAAAACTGCAGCAACCAAACAGAACAGGGAGTAGAATACCAACTATACCATATATGAGAGTCTTCCATGGACCTGAAAGTCGACCAAACCATGACATTGTGGGATCCTGGTAGAGGACATTTATAGCAGAAATATGAGTATTCAGTGCATGCATAGCTTGGGTTATATCGTGAGAATAATCTGGTGTGTATACGCACCATTCAGTCTTAATGCACAAGCGTCACACTGGGCTGCAGTTAGGATATCTAAGGCCAAAGGGTTCTGTAGAGTCACTTGTGTAATCTGCGAGTTTTTTCAGTGAGAAGGGTAATGTTGGGTTAGGTGTTATGACAGGCAGCAGCTCTATACTTAGGATCTCTACTTATAATTCTACATCTACGTCTGCTGTCTGGGAGGAAAAGACGGCTGGTGAGTAGAACCAACAG